CTTTAAAGTAAAAACAGTCCTGTGGGCTGCTGACTATTGGTATATTGTTACCTGTGGCCTCAGGTGGGTCAAAATGGAACAAAAGTGGAAGTTCCCTATCCGCCTACTGACTTTCAGAACCCACCAGCACGGAGTACAGAGGCCTTGTCTGCCCCAGCACCACTGCAAGTGAAAAGGGTGGGCGGACAGGCCAGGGCATCATGGGGAACCGGTTTAGAGACCTGTAATGGAAGGTGCAGTAGGAGGTGGAACATGTGGTGACGCTGGTGATGTCTTGGTGGCTCTTTGAAAATAGGAATTCCTAGATTTCCAGCACTACATAGAATTAATGTTAAGTTAACAATAGGTGATAGGTATAATGGTCCAAATGGGGTAGTTGTCTGCCTTGGTCAGGGGTTCTCAAACCTTATAAGCATCAGAATCACCTGGAAGACTGGTTAAAACAGCTTGCTGGGCCCCACCCCCAGAGTTTCTTATTCTGAGGCTCTGGTATGGGGCCTGAGAATCTGCACTTCTAATTAGTTTCCCAGGTAACCTGGATGATGCTGGTCTGGGGACCACACTTTGAGAACCATTGTCCTGCAGAGCCAAGCTACACTGAGTTAAGGTAGGCATAGGGCCTGTTCCACATCATGGCGTATTTAGAAAATAACAACATTGTACAGAGTCCTGGAGTAAACTAAAGGGGATTTGGAACCCCAGATGGTGACGGACCACAGGCTCTGAGGACTCAGGTGTTCCATGCCTTGTGGCAAACCTGTTGGGGAGTGCTACCATGGATACACAAGTCTTAAAATACAGACTGCACCAGGATTTCCCTTTCTAGAGCAGGGAGGCCTTGAATGTTATCACTCACTGAGTGTAAGGTTTCTCCAGCTCACCCTTTCCTAAATCTCTGTTAACAATTCATTGACTCCTAGGGAGTTTCATAATTCATCTTTGTTGGTATATGTTAACATTTCCCTACAGGCATTTCGCCTGACATGCATTTCAGTTGGGAACATTGTGTTTGCTAATTCCTCAGTGCTGTTTGATCAACAGTAAATTAATCAGACTAGCTCAAACCTGGCCCATGATCTCTTCATTGTGGGATTCGTACATTTGGGAACATCTACCTTTAGGAAGCCAAGGGTGGAGAAAAGTCTGAGGGAACTTTCCAAAGGCAATTTTGAGGCTCTTGTTGGGGAAGCATCTTGTGGGTATAATATCAGAAAACAGGAAAAACAAGTTGGACCACTTGCTGTTCTGAAAGTGGACGCAGGTTATAAAACTGGAGATGGTACTTTGAGATTAAGGTACTCCTCCCTCTGATGTCTGTTCTTTCTCCACTATAATTACAAGCAGGAAAAGCCCTTCTGTTTCCCTTTTGAGGGTTGTGTTTCTGCACCTGGTGACTGAAGCACACATTCATAGTAATTTTGTGTCAAAGCTGCTTTTACAACGTTAGTCTAATAGGCAAATAAAACTCTTCAAAATGGATTCACCTCACATCTCATTAGGGTTGGGTGAGGAGTTAAGACAAAGAGAATGAGTCCTTTAGTTACTGGGACTAGTCAGTACCCAGACTAGATGGGCGCCTTGAGCCATATTTAATTTACTGAGGTAGCAGTTTGTTCTGTGGGAAAGAGTTAGCTTTTGGAACCAGGTGGACCAGGGTTCAAATCCCCTGTCTAACATATCACCTTCTGTGTGACCTTGAGCAACTTAATTTAATCTTAGAGGCTCAATTTCCTCATCTGAAAATGGAGATAATTGTATCTACCCAGGTAGCAGTGAGGAATAAACAAGGCTGCAAATACTCAACACAGGAACTGTCCTCTTGTTCTTAGAGGCAGGAGACTTTTGTCAAATTGCACCAGCTGGATGCAGGTGGAGCTTGGCTCTTTTTCCCTTGGTGAAGTAGGAATGAAGACAGGATGGAGGGAAACATGGGGAATGGCTGACACTGCTGCTTTTTGCTTGTATTGATTCCAAATAACATAGGAAATTGTTTTGCCTGGAGGGAAATGGTTTCCCTAAACCTTGTTTTGGGGAAGAGAAGATTTTCTTTCTCAAACTTCCCTGAAACATTCTATCTTTTAATACCATCTGTGACTTGGGGAGTCAGAGTGAGAGGTGCCCATTAGTTGATTAGCTGTGCATCCATTGTGGCCCCAGGCCAGGCAGGCACAGTCCTGCCCGGTTTGGAGGAGGGCTGGATAGAGCCACCTCTTTGTTCTCCGTGTGGCACCCTGAAGGGATTTAGGATGTTTTCCTGAACTTTCCAAGTAGTGTTAGATGTTGTTACAAAGATTTTTTTCACAAGTGACATAAGGAGAACTCTTCTCATGAATATAAATACATTTTGAATAAAATGTATTCATAATTGCACGTGTCTTCATAATTACACTCTTACAGAGATCTTTTGAAATGATTTCATTTGAATGTATTTTATTTTGGCATTCAGAAACACTTTTATTCTTCTCTGGATTGAAATATGAATCTTAGTAAAACTTCCTGTGTCCCGTGCCCTAAACTAATTGTTCCTGTCCCTTAAACGAGGTCAGTGTGGGTGCTTGTCCTTTCTGAATTTAGTTTCAGGAGTGAGTCTGAGTCATTATTTGGTTGCTTAGGTGTATTTTTCCTCAGCATGTCTATCTTTCCTTCTGTTGTCTTATCTTTCCCTTTTACAGTCTGGATGTGGGGTGTGGGTGCCACTAGGACCAGGGGCTACTCCCGCAGGTCCCAGCTAAGGGAAGCTGGTTGGGCCCTGCTGTGTGGATTGCTGCTGCCTGAAGCTCCCTTCCCTCTTCACGTGGGTCCCCTCCCCACTGGAAGGCCCTGGAGTTGAGCCCTGATCAGTATTGCAGTATTTGGTTTCTGGAATGATTGGCTTTCTAACTTGTCTTTCCCCTGAGTACTTAGTAGAAGACAAGTCTTCCTTAATTTGTGTTTTTACTTCTGCCCATAATTTCTGTGCTCAAGATACGTGAGGAAAGTTGTTCACCATTTGCTGTTTAGAATTAAGCCTACTTTTTTTTCAGGTTCTAAATCTTTAAACAAATTTTATTTATTACAGTTATTAAAATAGGGTTTTGTTTGTGTCTGTGTGTGTGTTTTTTTTTTTTTTAAAGAACTTGAACTACATCATCGAGTCTTGTGGACTGGCTGGTTGGGGATCCTATCAATAATAACAGCAAAGCTCAGAAATCCTTGTCATAATAAGAAACGCAGGTTGGCCCTGGCCGGTTTGGCTCAGCGGTTAGAGCGTTGGCCTGTGGACCAGAGAGTCCCAGGTTCGGTTCCCGCTAAGGGCACATACCTTGGTTGCGGTTTGTCCCCAGCACTGGTTGGGTCGTGTGGGTGGCAGCCACTTGATGTGTCTCTCTCACATTGATGTCTCTCCTCTTTCTCTCTCTTTCTCCCTCTCCCTCCTGCTCTATCTGAAGATAAACGCAAAAATGTCCTCGGGTGAGGATTAAAAAAAGAAGAAACACAGGTCAAAGATTCCCTATATAAATTACTAACACCTGATCACTCCCTGCTGGGGCTTCCCACTTCATTCTGTCCTTTCAAAGCAGCAGATTTATACTCACTTTGCATTGGTACTATGAGAAAAAGTAATATTTTCACTTTTTTTTTTCCCAGAAAAAGTGAAGCATAAATGAAAATTACCTCCTTATTTTACAAATATATTTTGCCTCTGGACTCTTTTTTTTTTTATCCTCACCCGAGGATATTTTTCCATTTTTTGTACAGATAGAGTGGGAGGGAGAGAGAGGAAGGGAGAGAGAGAGAGAAACATCGATGTGAAAGGGACACATCGAGTGGCTGCCACCCGCACGACCAACCAGGGCCGGGGACAAACTGCAACTGAAGTACGTGCCCTTAGCGGGAACCGAACCCGGGTCTCTCCGGACTGCAGGCCGACGCTCTAACCACTGAGCCAAACTGGCCAGGGCTGCCTCTAGACTCTTAAGCACCTTTTCTCTCTCTCTCTTTAAAATCCTCACCCAAGGACATTTTTCCATTCATCTTCAGATAGAGTAGGAGGGAGTGGAAGGGAGGGAGAGAGGGAGAGAGAGAGAAACATCTACCCAAGAGGGACACATCGACTGGTTGCCTCCTGCATGACCTAAGCTCCTTTTAAGAATATAGTCTGCTTCTTTTTTTTTTTTTTTATCCTCACCCGAGGACATTTTTGCATTTATCTTCAGATAGGACAGGAGGGAGAGAGGGAGGAAGAGAGAGAGAAACATCGATGTGAGAGAGACACATTGAGTAACCACCCACATGACCCTGGTTCCCAACCAGGGCCAGGGACAAACCAACCGAGGTATGTGCCCTCAGCAGGAACCGAACCTGGGACTCTCTGGTCCGTAGGCCAATGCTCTAACCGCTGAGCCAAACAGGCCAGGGCCATAGTCTGCTTCTTATTCTACTATGAGTCTGTATGGGGATTTTTAAAAATTAAATTAGGGTAAGCCCTTGCTGGGTACCTCAGTTGGTTAGATCATCATCTTGATATGCCAAGGTTGCAGGTTTGATCCCCAGTCAGGGCACATACAAGAATCAACCAATGAATGCATAAATGCATAAATAAGTGGAACAACAAGTCAATGTTTCTCTCTCTGTCTTCTTGCTCTCAAATTAAAAAAAAAACAACAAAACTATTGGGGTGACATTGGTTATAGTACATCATACAATATATATTGCATTGTTTGTTTACAATGTTGCAATTTTTTTTTTTTTTTTTAATCTTCACCCGAGGACATTTTTTCATTTTTTGTTCAGGTAGAGCAGGAGGGAGGGAGGGAGGGAGAGAGAGAGAGAGAGAGAGAGAGAGAAACATCGACATGAAAGGGACACATCAAGTGGCTGCCACCCACACGACCCAACCAGGGCCGGGGACAAACTGCAACCGAGGTACATGCCCTTAGCAGGAACCGAACCCGGGTCTCTCTGGACCGCAGGCTGATGCTCTAACCGCTGAGCAAAACCAGCCAGGGCGGAATTTTTTTTAAAAATGTGAACCTGTCACTAATGTGCATGTCATCCTTTTGCAGAGACCATGCTAATCATTAATTTTCTTTGTATCGTTCCAATTTTAGTATGTGTTCTGCCAAAACAAGCAGTACCTTGGAATTTTTTGTGCATATGTTTAAAAAAGGTTTAAGTAACCAAAGATCTGCTAGAGGATAAAGTCAGTGGTCAAGTTAGTCCAGTCCTGCTGACTCTAAGAGACAAAGGGCAGTTCATTCAATAAGATGTTTAGATATACACAAGTAGAACAGCAATAAGTGAGATAACCTCTATGCAGCAAACTCCGGGTTCCAGATTTGTGCCAGGTACTGTGCTGGGCTTGGGAGACACAAAGAGAAGGTAGGAGACTACCCAGGGAGAGGTGGTGGGTTATAGCAGAGGCTTTCCAGTGAGCCCCATATTTAAATCTCACATTATTTACCAGGTATAGGTCTTTGGGAAAGTTGTCTATCTCTTGAGCCATAGTTTCCTCATTTCTGTAAAGGGAATCATAGTATTTAGCTCTGAACTTATGCTTACTAAATGATGTATCCGTTCAGTATTTGGTACATTGTAAGCAGACAGACAGTGGTGGCATTTAGAACAGTCGACTGCCTACTAAAGTTAGAGATATGGGAGCAAGCCATTATACTGTGTGTCAACAATTGTCCCACAGTGCGTTAAGTGCTGTGGTGGGTGGGAGGCTTGTGTGCACAGGTGCTTGGGGAGATAGGAGGACAGAGAGGTGCCTCACCCAGCAGGGCCACATGTGGAAGGCCTCCAGGAGGTAGTGGCATTACTACTCCTTGGTAGTGAGCCAAGACTTGCAGCCCAATTAAGGATTAGCTGGCAAAGAAAAGAGGAAGGACATTCCATTCCAGGCAGTAAGAAGTCTCTACAAGGACAGCCAGGCACCTTTTTGTCAGGTTTTGGTTTCTGGTTTGACAGAATCAGTAGGAAATCTACAAGCTTTGCACCTCTGCTAAAGTTGTAAAGAACCTGGAGAGGCATTAAGTGGGTTTTAAAGAAAAGGAAGTCTGTTCAAATTCTGATGGTCTCCAGTATAAAAATAGGCCTTTGGATCAGAAGAGCCTTCGCCTGTGAAGCTTGGTGACGGCATGGAGTCCTAAGGAATTCATTGGGGGAGCCAAGAATGGTTCCCACCCGTCCTCCCTGTGGTGGGATCTAAGCACACTCCCTGGCAACCCACCCACTGGTTTTCCAGTTGCTGCCAAACTCCACTTTAAGGAGGAAATGATTCCATTCCTTTCTGGCTCACGGGAGTATTAAACAATCAAGAAGACCTCTATGGCCTTAGAGGGGTGGGTAAATAAATATTTCAGGATGTGATATTGCAGCGATAGGAAAAGAACAGGCCTTGTAATGCTATGCTTACTGGGAAACAAGATGTCAAGTGTGTGCTGTGCAAGGAAATACATTGTACTGATACTGAACCTAATTGCAAGGCTACATAACAGCAAAATGATCCAACAAAAAGTCTGCTGTCACATTCAAATATTTACAAAATTCTTTTCTTTAGATCCAATAGCTTTAATTCCAGAATCCAGCATCTTCTGAGTTTTTACTATGTTCAGAAATGCACTGTGCTAAATGTGATACCTTGTCATGTCATTTAGGTAATTGTCAAAATATTATAAAGTAAGTAGCTTCCCCATTTCTTGCAGATGAGCAGACTAGGGCCTTCTAGAATTTATAGTTGGTATATCTGGAGTAAACCCAGGTAACCTGATGCCATTGTTCTCATCACCAAGCTAAAGTAGTCCCACCCTCCCTATTTTTGAAAAGATGGTTCTTTTTCACAGAAATAATTTATAAAGATATTTTATTTTATTTATTTTTTTATCCTTACCCAAGGACATTTTTCCATTTTTTTGTTCAGGTAGAGTGGGAGGGAGAGAGAAGAACAGAGAGAGAGAGAGAGAAACATTGACGTGAAAGGGACACATCGAGTGGCTGCCACTCACACGACCAACCAGGGCTGGGGACAGACTGCAACTGAGGTACGCGCCCTTAGCGGCAACCGAACCCAGGTCTCTCTGGACCACAGGCCGATGCTCTAACCGCTGAGCCAAACCAGCCAGGGCTTTTATTTTTTATTGGTTGATTGATTTTTGAAAGAGAGGAAGGGAGAGGGAGAAACATTGATTTGTTGTTCCACTTATTTATGCATTCATTGGTTGATTCTTGTATGATCCCTGACTGGGATCAAACCCGCAACGCTGGTATATCAGGAACGCTCTACCCACCTGAGCTATGTGGCCAGGGCCTATGATTTTTTGTGTTTGTTTTTTTTTCATGCTTTAATTTATTGCTTTACTTTGAAACAACTCAAAATTGAATCAGTTGTAGAGTAATGTGTAAAGATTTTTAGGCGAAATTTAGAGTGTTGGCTCTACTTCATGAACTCTAACAATGTTGGGAATATAATTGGCAATGCTTATTGTATTTAAAATTTTTCTCCCAAAAGTTCTGTGGGAAACCTTTCATGTCAACAGAACATAATCTCTAATATGTATTTCTTCTTAGGACAAAATCACTTACAGGAAAACAGAGGGACGGCAATGACATTGTGACTCTACTGTACAGGCTATTTATAATAATAGTGCCATTGAGAATATATGTTAAGGGAGAATGCACAGGTCTCATTAAAGAACTATAGCAGGAATCAGTTTGAGCTCCGTTTTTTTTTCCCTTGATTTTTAAAGAGAGAGGAAGGGAGAGGGAAAGAGAGATAGAAACATCAGTGAGAGAGAACATCTATTGGCCACCTTCAGTATGCCCCCCACTGGGGATTTGGCCCACAACCTGGGGATGTGCCCTAACTAGGAATCAAACTGGCAACCTCTTGGTGCATGGGTTGATGCTCAACCACTGCGCCACACTGGCTGGGCCAGTTTGAGCTTCTTAATTTCTTCTGTGGTTTTAATGGTCCATGTTTAGGGTGAGTGGATTAAGAAGAACCAATGTCCTTTGTCCTCGCTAAGAGGTATTCAAAGTGTGGTCCTCAGAGAGCAGCATAAACACTACCTTAGAATTGTTAGAAATGAAAATTCTCATCCTAGCACAGACTGGCCCAGATAAAGTGAGATTAGTTTTCCTAATAGGGGGCAGGAGCAGTTATCATGGATAATTATTCCACCCAATCACATCAGAATGAGAATCAGGTCACTGGGATTTTTTCTTCTTTGTAATTCATTCTGGACATGTTAAACTAACAATAGCACCATTTATGTGTTTGTAAAAATACCGATTTGACTGTTACCACTAATAAAAAGACAATCATTACAGGTTAATGAGCCCAATAAATACTAGATCATTTTATTTTACTTTTTCTTCCATTTTTTCCCCCTTTGAATTATAGGCTAAATAATATCTGTGTCTCTTGGCGTTGTTTCTTTAGGTTAAAAACGTTTCTGCAGGCACACAAGACATGCCTCTTCCCCCTTCAGACTATGCGGAGAGAGTGTACAGTCCTGTGGCCTACTCTTCCAATGGTAAAGTGAATGACAAGCGGTTGTATCCAGAGTCGTCCTATAAATCAACACCGTAAGTAGCACCTTCTGAATATTTGCATGTTTATAAATCAGTTGCTGTTTTATGCCATTTGCCTTAAGAAAATGCATAAAGCCCTGGCTGGTTTGGCTCAGCGGTTGGAGCGTTGGCCTGCGGTACAGAGAGACCCGGATTCGGTTCCCGCTAAGGACACGTACCTCGGTTGCAGTTTGTCCCCGGCCCTGGTTGGTTGTGCGGGTAGCAGCCCCTCGATGCGTCCCTTCACGTTGATGTTTCTCTCTCTTTCTCTTCCTCTCTCTCCCTCCCGCTCTATCTGAACAAAAAATGGAAAAATGTCCTCGGGTGAGGATTAAAAAAAGAAAATGCATAAAGACTGGAGACTGATCTTTGCATTGTAGGTGGATACCTAGGGTTGGAAGATGAGAAGATTGGGGCTGTGAGGTGGGGATCTCTTCTAAGCTGAAAATGCTTTTCTCTTGATGATTTAATAGATAAAGCATAAGTTAGGTTCTTTCACTCTAGGAATGTGATTCTCTTCCCTGCTTCTGGTTTTGAGTTTAGGTGTGGGTAAAAGGCCATTACTGATTGATAGCATAGCTAAGTGTGTTTCTCAGCCCCTCCTTTTGCCTGTAACTATTAGATCTCATTTAGAGTGTTGAATAAGCATAAAGAATCAGAAGGCTTTGGCTAGAAATAAATGATAAAAATTTGCCCCGGCCCGTTTGGCTCAGCTGTTGGAGCATCCGCCTGCGGACCAGAGAGTCCTGGGTTTGGTTCCCACTAGGGGCACATACCAAAAAAAAAAAAAAAAAGAAAGAAATGATAAAAATGTACTCAAGGGTCTTAGAGTTTGCAAACTGGAAATATATCTAGGCAAAACCTAGACGTGTTCCAAAAAAAAGAAAGAAAAGTTAAGAATTCTTACAGTAGCCCTGGCCAGGTAGTCAGTTGGTTAGAGTGTCATTCAGATATGCCAAGGGTTGCAGGTTCAATCCCTGGTCAGGGTACATAGACTTATCAACCAGTGAATGCATAAATAAGTGGAGCTACACATTGACTTCTCTCTCTGTCTCTCAAAATCGATAATTAAAAAGAAAAGTTCTCCCCGGGCCAGTTTTGCTACCAGTTTTGCTTAGTGGTTAGAGCGTCAGCCTACGGACTAAAGGGTTGCAGGTTCACTTCCCAGTCAAGGGCAGATACCTGGGTTGCAGGTTCAATCCCTTGCCCCACTCAGGGTGCTTGCGGGGGGCAACTGATCGATGTGTCTCTCTTACATAGATGTTTCTCTTTCTCTCTCCCAAACTCCCTCCTTTCCATTCTCTAAAAATCAATGGAAAAAATATCCTCAGGTGAGTATTAACAACAACAACAACAAAAAACCCACAAAACTATAAGGCCTCGTTTGGATTCCAGAATTCTGAGATCTTTGCTGTGCTAGAGCATCCGTGTTGCTGATAAAGCCTCTAGGTTTTGTTTTACATATAATGGAAAAAAACCTCAAAGTGAGTTTCTGGCCTAGAATAGGTGCCATTATGGTTATTGAAATGGTATCCCAGTATGGTTTTAATTTACCCTAA